CTCTACAAGGACAAAGGAATGTTGAATGTGGAAATGAATCAATATAAGCAGGTCAGAGATTACAGTGGAGACTGGGGGAAAAATTTAGTGTACTGGGAATCAAGTCACCCTCAGGCAGATCTTCCCAAGAATGTTTACTCTTGTGAGCTAATTGAGTTTTCACTCATTAACAACTGAAGGCCTTTGACAGATTTGACATTTGACATGTATTGTCTCATCACAAAAGCCCCACAGAAGAAGATGTCACCATTTTGACTGTATAGATGAGGCTAATAAGCATCATGCAGATAAGCTTGTGTGTGTTATACAACAAAGCTCTTAGAATCTCAGCTACTTGTTCACACACTGTAGTGTGCTTTTGGGAAACAGCCAGATTCACCCTGGTTCTAATGCACCAGCATTTCTATGATAGAGCGTAGACACTATCTTTATAAAAGTTCTCAAGTGACCCTTATAGGTAGGGACTATGAGTCCCTTGTGAAGGCATAGCTATATTGGAAGACATGGTTTTGGAGAGACTGTTGCCTAACATTTTGATACAATGTGCTCATTGAAAAGTTTTGCTTTTGACAGACTAACACTTATACCTCTTCAGTATGTAAATTGTGAACCAGGCAACAGAGCTCTCTGAGAAGAGTTTCTTTTGAGGACTAGGGAAGGTGAGAACAGAGCTAAGGCAGAGGACATAGAAATAGAACAACTGTAAGGGGAACTCAAAAGAAGACAAGCTTTGAAATACAATTTTACCAGTAATCTCTTAATGATGTTACTCTTTCAATTAACATGTGTGTGTTTGTGTGTGTGTATGTGTGTGTGTGCTCGTGCATGCACAAGCATGTACACGTAATTTAATTTAAATTTTAGGTACATTAGTTTATATACAAGGCAATTTGAGACTCTGTTGAAAAAGACATGCATGCCTCTGCCTGGTTCAGTAGTAACAGCAGCTCATTAGACATGAAGAAAAATGTTTGATTTAATTATTGACAATGAATAGTCACATTTTGTGACGGCTAGTAATATTAGCTAGATATATTAGTGGATTTTCAAGGATTATAAAAACGTACATAACACAGTTCAAACTGTTTTTCATCCTTTGCCAGAGCAGCCCTGTGAGCCACAGATGATAGCTAATTACAATAGGATTCTGCTTACCTATCATGCCTTGGATTGCCTCCTACCCTCTTGATTAAGTGAATTAGAAATTGTCTTTGGAAATATACATTATTTTTGCAAAAGCCAGATTGTTGTGCCCAAATTCTGAAACCTCAAGTCACCAAGAGACCCAATCAGATGCAAAAGCAAAGAATCTTTAATTAATTAACAAGCTAATTGCATTAACTCTGTTCCTCCATTTATCAGACACAGCAGGTGGAGCAAGAAGGATCCAGAGGGACAGAGGGGCAGGGAGTTTATTGGGACAGAGTAAGGGGAGTGTCTAGGGATCCACAACAGTCTCAGGATTGATGTAATTTTGAGTTTGGACAACCTGTCCTGAGTTGATTGATCAGGAATGGTTGCTATGGCCTATAGGCCCTACCAAAGTGGTTGCTATGCTCTGCATGTCCCTGTTACTATAAAGCACAATCAGAGCCTGCCAGCTAACTTCTGATTGGTTCCTTGCCGCATGGAGGGTATCTGGTTCCTGGTGACTGGGGCATGTCAGCAATGTCAGAAGGTCAGAAACACAGCAGCACGTGCTGAGTCAGAGGCCTGCTTCTTGCTGGGCCTTTTCTGCAACCTGTAACGGCTGCCAAAGCAGGGGGCTGGTGAGGGTCTGGTCCCTTCAAGATCGGCGTTTATATATTGTCACACAGTTTCCCCTTCTGTAAAGGCTGTGGTCTCTAAGTGGAATCTAATATATAGTCTTTCTTAAATGTCCTATTGCTGGGAGGACCTGAGTCTTCCTCGCTAATAGCTGCAGCCACTTAATCACGTTCTAAAGAGGTAAAATGCTGAGTGGGTAGCACTTCCAAGTTGTCATTCCTTGTTCTGCTGTGACCACCCACAATTGATTTGGATTGATCTGGCTTGAAGAGATTTATTTTGAAAGTGCTTTAAGTTTATCATTACTCAGCACGAATATGGGTAGTATCCTGAGGTTTCACTCTTACACGGATATACGAGTTCCAGCTTTGGGCTGAGACTGGGTTGTGTGCATTGTCTGAAAATCATCCAGTTTGTTATCAACATGAGTGCTTAACAGAGGATCTTGACCTAAAATCCTACCCCCTTTCTGACAATGCTCCGCTCACCCTAGTAGCCGGTTGACAAGCAGGCATTTGGCTATGTTAGTTGCAGCTGCCTGCTTCAGTTCGCAGGGTTCCTCTACCTTGTCACTATTGCAGAGACATCTTCATTTGTCTTTACAGCTGCAATCAGAAGCCGAAGTGAATATGACCACCCATAACACGGTCCTTTCCCGGGTACTTACCACTGTATGCACGCTCCAGGTAGGTCATAAAATAATAAGCTATCACTCATGGCTTTATCTCTGCACCTGTTCTCCCCGAGGGAAACCATGTCAGCAGTGCCGAACCTATTGGCATCATTCTAAAGCCAACAAATGGAAATCTGTCAGACAAGTAGCTAAGTATCCATCCATCTGCGTTTGTGGAAGAGGGTGTCATTAGCTCCAAGTGCACAGTGCTGGAAGAGAGCAGCATCAGTTTAGCAATGTCCCGGGCTGTGAGCACTCACCGCTACAACAGCAAATTTCAGCATCACTGGAGTTCCTCACCTCTGAACTACTGCCTTGGAATCAAGAAGGAACTGGGCCTAATTTATGAAACATAGCACACCACCAACCAGTTTTTCTTGGGAGACTGCATTAGTATCTTTTTTATTTGCTTAATAGTACTACATTAGAAATATATTTATAATTTAAAATTGTGCATCTCCATGCTAAGAGAATCACTTTTTCAGAACATGCAAACTACGTGTTTAACATTGGTTACAATGGTTGTGATAAAAATGGGTTAGGCACCAAAGTTTTCTAGTGTGGTCACTTTACATGGCTGATGTGTGAGGAGATAGCCTAGGAAATGCCTCTTTGGGAGTTTAGAGGCTACTTGAAAGTGAGATAACATTTACACCAACATGTTTTAAATCCCTCTATAAATTAGTAGTCATTTCAGTCGCCATCTCTTTCTGTCTCTCTGTTTCTCTCTGTCTGTCTGTCTGATGATAGGAGAAGGGTTTGTAGTCAGGAAGTCGAAAATTCTTGGAAATCGACTGTGAGTATGATTGGGTTAGGATTGGGGATTGGTTTAAAACTTTCATGCTGTATGAGACACAGGGCTATGGTAAAATACTCAACTTCTATGGTTTTCCTCTAGTATAAGCCAGATATAGAGAGTATGAAATGTTTTAGTAAGTTGACAAAAGCGAGGATGAATGCAATAGATGAGAGACAGTCACTGTCAGACAGAGAGAGACAGAGACAGAAAGAGATACAGAGAAAGAGACAGAGACAGAGACAGAGAGAGAAACAGAGAGAGAGACATAGAGACAGAGACAGAATCAGAGACAGAGACAGAGACAGAGACAGAGAGCTGAACAGACAGAGGTGATAAGGTGATCCTGGGAATACCCAGTGCCAGCTACCTAACTCTCCTCTGGCCACTGACCCAGGAACTACAGTGGCAGGGTGCCAGACTCCGAAGTTCAGGCTGGGGCAAGTGATTGTGTGAGGGCCATGGGAACTCAAGGAGCATCAGCCCACAGGAGCTGCTGCTCCAGATGAAATGTGGGATCTCAGGCTCTAGCTACAGCCAGGAAGCATCCACAGTAGCAAAGGATCAGAGGCAGAAGGTGGGCGGACTGGAAGGACTCATCCAGCCATGTTCCCCACTTGTAAAATCTCCCTGTAGGTATTAGAGTCCTTAGCAATAATACCAGAGAAAGGGGGCGCTAGCTGTGAAACTGTACAAACTTAAACAAAAGGTCACAACTTAAAAAGTAGCTACTTAAATTATTAGCTTAATTGGCTCTTTATTCTCAGTGAACCAGTTGGAAGGGTTTGGAATAATGTTTGTAATAGTTAAAACCCACATAACAAACTATGTGTGCTGTCACTGAGCACAAAGACCACAGTACTAAGAAAAAACTACTACAAATCTAAGTTGTAAACTCAACCTCACATTTGCTACCTTGCTATGACTTTGAAAAATCAAAATATGTAAGTTCCGCTATTGCTATCCTTAGTCATTTTGTGATAATGTATACAACTACGTGAAGCTGGGGCTGCAGGGCATTGGAACCACTGTCATACTGGAATTACTGCTCTCAAATGCTTGAGGAATACTATTTTCATTCGTTTTGCTGCTGTAGAACACTGACTGTTTTTGTTGTTGTTGTTGTTTGGTTGGTTTGGTTTTGGTTTTTTTTTTTTAATCCTCATCAATCCTGTTACATCCTCCAGCAGGGAAATGGTCAAAACTGAACAACACATAAAATGTGTCCTCCTTAAGAACCTCATTTTTCTATTTCTTTTCTGTACTACCCTTTTAATACTTTTTAAGAGACACTTCTCCTTGCCATTATCATTCCTCTGATGCAAATCAGCAACTATTTACTTCACTACAGAACCTGAGGTCATGAATGAGGGCAGGCAGTAATTTAATCTGTGAAAACCAGAGGCATTGTCTGGTTAGTGTGGTGATAACAGTACAACCCAGGCCATTGCTTCCTGTTCACACTCACTCAACAGTTGTTATTGCTTCCTCCTTTTGCCCCTCTTTCTCCTTCCTTCCTCCTCCTCCTCCTCAGTCTCCCCCTTATGCTCCTTCCCTCCAGGTGTAGTACACACACACACACACACACACACACACACACACACCAGGATTCCCATTTTAAAGACAATAATCCAAAGGATAAAAGCAATCTTGGAAATTTTCAAAGTTAGGCTGAAATTTTGCTAAAGCTAAGTATCAGTCAGGCTTGTGTGTTCACATAACCCCTTGAAACTGTAAGATTCCAGCGGAAGTTAGACAACTTGCAACAGCTTAGGACATTTGTTTATTCAGTCACTGTCACAATGACAACAGGTTAAGAGCACTACATTTCTAACCTGTTAAGGTGATAACGATGGAGATTTCAGTTTGTAAAGTTCACTGTTCTTAACGATTAAGAAAATTGATTTTAACAGAAGAATCATTACATATTATGCTGTTCTTAGGAAAAGTTCTAAATTTTCTGGCATATGTTCAAAAGCATATTTGTTCATTTCTTTAAACAAAACACAAGAGACAGTTTAACTCTTGGTTACTGCTTTTAGAAAAGCATGGTGTTCTCAAAGCAAATGTGCACAAAATGTCTTTTTCAATAGTGCAGTCATTCATTGTATATCATGTCAGTGGGAACCTGAGACTCCCAGGTTCATTATTCCAGGACCACTAACATACACTTGCTTACTTAAACAACCAACTGAGATACATATGCTTTCAGTGCCTCTTTTGTACAAACCAGAACACCAAAGAATACAGGAAACAGGAACTAGTGAAAGACTGGTCTTCGTTCTGCTCAGATTTCCAATGGAGTTAGCAAATGCAGACATAATTTCTTCACTCCCATTCCTCGACGGAAGTGACCTTGTTAACAGGATGTATGTAAGAATCATCTCCGCTGGGACCTTGAAAAAGGCAGCAATTCAAGGTCCTGATTGACATTTCTCAGTTCCAAGTTTGATTGCTACTTGAACCTGAAACTGAAAATGTCCCAGCTGGAGTCACACTTGTCACTTTGTGGCTGTCCTTTTAATTGCTTCATGGACTTGTGACAGTCGGTTAAGATAAACAAATCTATCTTTCTCTATATAGGTATATATATACACACACACATGACTTGTGCATAGCAGTACATATACATACATTAAAAACATCACAGACAGTGTGATTTCCCCTGTTTCTTGGAACATCAGGAATTCAGGTCTTTTACTCTGCACTGACAGAAGTTAACCCAAATTACCATTTATCTATTTTAATAAGACAAAATCTGCAATAAAAAAGTATAAAAAATCTCCAAACTTCACTGGACACAAGCAAAAATAGGAAGGCAAGGAGAATCCAAGAGAGGGAAACTTTTGAGGGGTCTTAGGGCAGGGGGCGGGCTTTTCTCCACTCCTGCTCAATTCCACACCCTGAGCCCCCAGGAGTCCCAGGAACAGCCCTGTTAGGCAAGGAAAGCAGAAACACACTACTAAAAACACCACAAATAAATAAATAAATATATTAAACAAAAAATAACATTATTAGGCACCGCTTGAAAGGCAGGAACCCTCAGGGACCGGACAGGTTGTAGCAACCGACCCAGCTTTGGCAAAGGCCCTGCCTTCGTCACCGAGGGAGCCTAAGCCCGACCTGCAACTTACACTAGAGCAGGAAACCGAATCTTTTGTTATTCTAGGGCTGAAAACAACAGGAACTGCCAGCTTGCTATTCAAGTGCACCCGCCAGGGTGCCTAAGTCATTGACCAGAGGGGAGTGCCCCTCAGTGGGACTTCGGAACCCAGGACTCAAGTTCTGAGCTAATCTAAGGGAAGGGTGGTTTGGTGGCTTCTGTGGCATCGACATCCACATCCACAACCCAGGAATCTTACAAACCAAACTTGTCCCTTTGCTTGCTCTCAGCTCCTTTTTTTTTTTTCTACTCCAAAGGAGGATGTGGGAGGAGCTATACCAAGTCTGGGGTTCTGAGTGAACTACCTATTCTTATGCACCTAGCTCTGCTCTGGTGGGGGGGGGGGGGGGAGCGGGAAGCGTTGGGAGGACCGGCCCAGGGAAAGATGTGCCTTCTTTGGGAAGTCGCCCGGTTATCCTCAAGCTGGGTTTCCTTAAAAGTAAGGCTGTGCAAAGGGAGAGCGATGATTGGGGACAATCTGACAGCCTCTCTGAGCAGAGTCTGGCCCGCTGACCTATCTGCTTAGCGTCCAGGGTTGAGCGCAAGCAGGGGACTCAACCCAAAGGAAACACATGGCAATAGCCGTGGCTCAGCTTAAAGAAACAGATATATGGACTTGAAAGAATAAGGGTCGAACTGAATAGACGACGTTAAGTTTGTGGTTTGAACTAGCAGAACTGGGAGGGAGCATCGAAGTTACCGAGTTTGGAGAACAGAGTTGTTCAGAGTAGCAAGCGCTGTGTAGGAAAAAGAAAGGGCTGAGAAGGTGGCCCGAAAGCCTTCCTAGTTGACCCACAAATCTCTCCATTTTACCTTGGTCACATGACTTTCCTAGGTCCGGCTACCCAGGCGCTACCACTGCACCTGCTGTCCCGTTATCATTCTATCATTCGCTCGCGCCCGCTCCTCCCTCGCCTTTCTGACCACTCTCCCCCTCTGCAGTGCCCGGCCTTAGAGTGTGCTGATCCTGGAAGCGCAGGTGCCATTACGGAAAACGCCTCCAGACTCCAGGTTCTCGGGCTGGAAGTCCTCCACACTGTAGGCGCGACTCTTCAGGGCGGTGGCGTAGTAGTCAACTGGCTCCTCCGCAGCGTTGTCCATCCAGCTGAGGCACAGGATGCGCTGGAAAGAGCGCTTGAAGTTGTCCGACAGGAAGCCGTAGAGGATGGGGTTGGCACAGCTGTTGGCATAACCGAGGATGACAGACAACTGGCTTACGGTGGCGTCGTCTTGCTCGGCGAACACATTGACCAGCTGTACCACGTAGAAAGGCATCCAGCAGATGACAAACACCATCACCACCATCATCACCATTAAAGTGATCTTGCGCTCTGAGCGCTTGCGCTGCTGCCAGCCGGCCTTGAGGGCCACCATGCGCATCTTGGCAATGATGAGCACGTAACACAGGCAGATGGCCCCCACAGGCAGCAGGAAGCCCATGAGAAACGTGTATAAGACGAAGCCCACCAGCCAGCGCTGGGCGGGCTCGGGCATGAGCATGTTGCAGGCCACCGTGCCATCACTGTTGGCGGCTGTGCGTGAGAAGACCACGATGGGCAAGATAACCAGTAGAGACAGAACCCACACACCCAGGTTCACCACCTTGGCTACAGTGGGACGACGGTAGCGCGCTGCCTTGATCGGGTGCACCACAGCCACATAGCGATCCACGCTAAGCACAGTCAGACAGTAAATGCTGGTGAACATGTTGACCGCGTCCACGCTGAGCACAAGGCGGCAAAGTAGCGCGCCAAAGGGCCAGTGGCGCAACAACGTGGAAGTGACCAGAAAGGGCACGCTGAGCATGAGCAGCTCATCAGCAATGGCCAGGTTGAGAATGTAGATGTTGGTTGCGGTCTTCATTTTGGCGTAGCGCAGGATCACGTATATGACCATGGAGTTCCCACACAGTCCCACCAAGCATACCACGGAGTAGATGAAGGAGATGAGAATGGCGCTACCCTGGCCCTCGCTTAAGGTCCCATTCTGGGAAGCGTTTCGTCCTGGCTCCTCCATGCCGTCCGTAGCGCCGGCTCCGGGGCCCCTGCTGCAGGCTCCTTCCCCGCAGCTGCCTGGGCTGGGGCTAGGAGAAGAGGAGGGAGAGGAGGCGGTGCCATTGGGGAACATCCCGGCTGAAACGGCCGATGCTGGGGCGCTCACCTGGCGCCCTTGCTGCCTGCGCCCTCCCCAGACTCAAGGCTCCCGGCTGACAGATCACCGCCTCCTGGCGCCGCCTGGCAGAGCGCAGCGGCTGCGGCGAGCGCGGCTCCTACCAAGGCCGGCCGGGCGCATCGCCCAGCGGCTGCTTGCACGCTGTCTCTCGCAGCTCTGTGGGACCACGGCACAGCGGAGCGAAGAGAGGAGAGGCCAAGAGGCTAGAGCCCAGCGCGGTACAGCCATTAAGTGGAGCGGCTCTGGACTGGTGAATGATTAATAAGCAGCACCATCGCGTCAGCAGCTACGAAGGGGGGGGGCACATAGGTGGTTTATTCTCCCTCCCAACCCCCTCCCCCATTTCCAGTCCCCTCTAGGCTCAACTCAAAGATCGCTTCAGATTTCTCTCACAGCATCTTCAGGCTCTCCCAGGACAGACCTGAGGAGTTTCTCTACCTTTCTAAAGGGTAGGTTCCAGGCAGGAATGCAGATCCTGTCCCATTCCACCCCACTCCTGCTCTAAGTAAAAACTGAAGCAAATCCCAGACATGTATGTCTGGAGTTCATCTTCATTTCTTACAGTTGCTGCTCTCTTCTGGTGAAGGAAGGGACCCCACCGCTCCCCAACTGCTCTCTGGGACACTAAACACCCACCTCCTTTCCCACTTGCCCAATCCTTCAAACCTGCAGCTGAAGATTTCAGGTCTTCGGATCGCAAAGTCGATGTCTCCAGATGGCCCTTGCAAAGTGCTTGTGAGGTCTGGCGGTGCGCTGACATTCTTTACAAGGTCCGACTCCCTTTAGGGCTTGCCGCTGCACAAGTGCCCACGCAGACACTGAGTGGTGGAAGCCAAACCTAAGCCAATGGCATTATGAACACAAAGGACCACAGTGGTGTGTTCGGGGATGCTGACAATATTCATCGCCCTCTGCTCTGCATCAGGGAGCGTTCAGGGAAACTGAGTGAACGAACCATTGTGAATCTCTAACGAAGCTTGTAGTACCCAGAGCCCCCTTCAGCTCCCCCAGGAATATCGACTGTAGAAACCAGGTCGTGGGGCAGAGAGCTCAGGAGGAGGCTGGCTCTCCCTCCGGAACCTGCCAGGCGCGGTATTGGAAATCCATGTAGGTGTTCACTAGGGAAAGATTAGGCTGCGCGGCTCATAACAGCTGCGCCCGCGCGCGTCCCTGCTGTACTTTGTACCCTGGAGAGTTGGCGGGGCGGAGGAATGGAGGTGGAGAGCGCCAAGGCCTGCACAGGCAGGCATGCCAGATCCAAGTCCACTCTTGGCTCGCTGTGCAGAAGATGGAACTGTCATCAAACCCAGAATCAGTGGCAAGGCATCCAGGCTTTCCCTAGTGGAATACTAACGGATACGAGGGCTTTGAGGTATGACTCCTCCCTGGTCCAAGTGCCAAAACCATTAAGACATGGATATCAAGGCCCAGCAGGCCCAAAGCTCACTGACTTCTGGGAACTGCAGGGTTCCCCTTGAAAAAGTATGGATGTTGGTTTTTTAAGGGACTCTCGGATTTCCCAGAATTCGTAGCCTGGTGCCCTTTGGCTTTGCAGTCTCTGCCTGTCAAAAGATTTAGTCCCCTCTTCCTTTCTCATGAATGCTGCTGTGTTCCACAAAATCCCTGCAAGTCTTTGCCTGGAGCATGCCAACTATCCCCCCCCGCCCCCCCCGCCCCAGAGCTTTGCTGCTTGTTCCTTAGTTATCTTCAGGGAAAGGGGGGGGGGGGGCTCACATCTACTTCAAGAGGTGGCAAAATTTGAAATTAAACTCATGGAAGCTGTTTCTACCAGACAGTCTAAAATGCAAACCTGGACACTGCATTTAAAGTAAAACATTTATACTCGATGTCCTGTTGCTTGTTCCCAGTAATTGCTTACACATAGGTGCTTCGGTTTCCAAAACTAAGTGCTGCCGGAAGGGAAAGAATCACGTGTAGTGTCCAGGATGGCAGTCAGATTAAAATCAATGAGCACAGGCTCCCTAAGAGTGTGTGGAACAGACGCTGAATTATTCATGAAAAAATGTTGGAGTGGAATTCAAAATTTGGAAGGACTGGGGCTGTTTAAAGGCATAACTTTACCTAGACAAACCACCTTGCCTGCAGTGGAATGCGACTTGGAGCTTAGTTATGTTTCTAAAACTTAATATACAAAAGAGCACATATAGAGGGGGAAAATGTCCATTGGGTTTAAGAAACAAAACTGAGATTTGTCTAGAGGAGTATTTTCCTTGCCAACCCCGGACATGATTTCGCTGCCTTTGCCAACCACTGACCAAAGCACCTGGCTGCATGTCTGGGATGCTTTTTCAAAGATCACCATTTATAGGCATTGGCTTTGATCATAGTGAATGGGGCAGGGATGGGAGTTTATGAAAGGCAGTTTTGTTGTCAGAATTTCATTAAATTCAGTTTTCAACTCATCACATAAGAAAAAATATTCAGTCAGATTATGACTCCACAAACAAAAGAAGAAAACTAGACAAATATATTTCTTTCTGGTTGTGAAAGGCTTTTGATGATGTACTTATTCACTAAAGATTTTGATAGAAAAAATAAATGTAAACAAAGAGGTGGAAAATTTGATCACTCATACATGTTCGTAGACATAAAACCATGAGGCACATCTTTGCAAACACATTTAATGATCTTTCAAAAACATTATGACCCAGCATTTCCATATTTGCCCTTTATCTCTCAGGACTGAAACCAAGTATTGGAACAACAACAACAACAAAAGATAAATAAAGAGAAGAAACAGCTCAAATATCTACCAATTGATGTATGTGAACAAAAATATGGTACATTAGTCGGTAGAATATGACTCTTCCTTTAAAAGGAATAAAGTGTCGATAATATACCAAATATTGATGAACTTAAGAGACATTTTAAAAATAAATCAAACTCAAATGGCAATAGTTACTTGGTCCAGTGTACATGAGTAGTCTAGAACAGGTACATACAAAGACAGGAAGTGGATTAATGATTATCAGTGGCTGGAGGAAGAAGGAACTGGGGAAGGGACTACTTGGTGAGAATAAAGTTTCTTTCCAGGCAAGGACAACATTTCAGAATTTAGCAATGGTAGTAGCTTCAGAACAGTGTGCCCATACCAAACCCCCTTGAATGACACACTTAAATGACTAAAATTATGCATTTTATGTGAATTTTATTTAAAAAAAAGCATTTGAGCTAGATATAAGTCACACATCTTTTTTTGTTTTGTTTTGTTTGTTTGTTTTTTGTTTTTATGAGACAGGGTTTCTCTGTATTGTTTTGGAGGCTGTCTGTCCAGCCCGGCCTCAAACTCACAGAGATCCGCCTGCCTCTGCCTCCCGAGTGCTGGGATTAAAGGCATGTGTTACCACCGCCCGGCTCATAAGTCATGCATGTTTTATCAAATCTTTCCACACATGTATGTCTTATCTTTGTATCTGTGACTCCCTCTGCCCCAGGAGCAGATAAAGCAAAAGACACTTCTGGACTAAGCACTGTAACATGACATTGGGACCCTAGAGCCTTGTCTGATATTTTAACTGGTAACATCTCTAAAGGCTTGAAAAACAGCCTGTCCTCAAGCTCTCAAGTCTTTGGTGAACTTTTTTTTTCCTGTGCCTCTTCCATGATACAGAAATCTGTAGAGAGGATAAGGAGGTATTTTCTAAGAAGACAAGAATGAAAAAGCCCAACCAAGAATTGTAGGTCCTCAAGCAGACTCTTCCTTCCATCATTATAACTTTTCCCTGTGAGCTAAACTCCCTTGTGTGGTCTTGTACCTGTTACAAATTTGTTTATTAAACCCATCATACCATACTGTTAGTTCATGTCTATTTGTCTGTGCCCTGCTTAGAAGCTTTTTGAGAAGAAAAACTATTATATTGAGCTTTCTGTTCCCAGAACTTAGCAAAATACTTGAGAAATTACTCTAAATCTCCTTTCTCTTTATTTTAAAGATACTTCCCTTTTCTTGAAGTAGCTCATAAATTACAGATATAAAGACATAAGTATGGATCTTTAGAAGAACTTCAAGGTCTGGGTAATATCACCATCATTAACAATTCCTTGTACATATAAATCATTCTGAAAATTTTTGATTTGCATGTCCTATATCAACAATTATAATGTTAACGAGTCATTCATTGATCATTCTTGATCTTAAACTTTTTGGCAGAGAAAGGAGTCTGGGAAAGGAGTGGTACATGCCTTAGTAGCTAATGATGGTTATTTAATAGTATCATGCAGTGTGAAAGCCATTATAAGTGGAAGATCATTTCTTTTTAATTGCAGTCCTGAGTCTCAGTTGGTTTGGTGAAATAGTAATTATCAGAAGCTCAAACTCTGTGTCTGTAAAAAAAAACTGCTAATGTGGTTTTTCCAGTTGGAACCTATGTTCTAATCCATTCCAGGGGCAAATGTACTTCCTGGAACACACTGCACTCACAGCCTAGTCATGTTTGGAAACACCTGTCTGGGCAGATGGGAGAAAGCTGAGTGTAAGGGGTATGCACCACTCAGCAATATGGCCCAAAGTAGAATATGTGGCACTTGGGGACCATCTGCCAGGAAGCAGTTAATGAGATGACAGTCTAATAAGAAAGTTACTAGGGTACAAAGTGGCTATCTGGCTAAACAGCAACCTTAGACTCCATCTCCCAGGGATGCCCAATCACTTCACAGCAGCCCAGGCAGCCTGTGGTGAAGTTCATCACCAATCTTAGCAAACCCACTGGCCTGCTGATTTTCCTATTGCCTCTTCTGTGAAACAGCGTGGCAGTGTCTCCTTTGTGCTTTCAGAAAAGTCACATACAGAGTAACAGCTCATTCTCCCCTATGGATTCTCTGTTGCTAAATAATGCTTCTAAGAACACAATACAGCATATATATAAAAGCATTCATTATTATTAATGGATAAATAATGGAATAGAAATGGCCACATGCTACCTGCATTACTTTGAATAGTCCTCACCAGCAATACATTTTTTTCTGTAATAAAGCTTTTGTTATTTAAGGACCCTAAGATGGGTAGCCTTAGTTTCAAAAAATTTTATTCAAACCTTTCCTTTTTTATTATTTGTCTTTATCCCCTCAGTGGCAATCACAAAAGCAAAATGCTTTCAAGGTAACAAAGCCACATTTTTATTTCTTTTGATACCTCAAATGATGTTTGATTCTGCTCAGAGCACTAAAACACTCACAGCAACTCACCCATTCCTTAAGAAATGGCTGTGCCTTTGGAGCAGGCCACAGGTGTCAATCAGATTCACCAGCTACATGAAAGAGCACAGAGCCAGGGAAAGGGCAGAGTGTGGAAGAGAAGCCAGCTTTGCAGAAAGAAGCTTACATTGGCAGCACTCTTCTGGTCCTGCTACTTTGTGACCATCTCAAATATGTTAAAACAAGAGTAGGGGCCAGGCTCTACCAGCCAAATCACTATTACATTCAGGTGTCCTAAAACACTGAGGTGGCCCTGCCCTGCTTTCCCACACTCCGTAGGAAGACACAAGAAAGCAGCTACTGTGACAGTCTGATTTTGTCCTTGTCCAAGGTGTGGTCAGAAGACATGAAAGCCCTTGGAGTCACATGACTAGTAACAAAAAGAGTTTTTTGTTTTCACAGCTTGTGCCCTTGGTCTAGGACCTGGTTTCTTATACTAACTTATTTGTATGTTTGAATATTTTTATGGACACAAAATTGACACTAGAGTAGAATAGACTTAGTTTCATAGTTGCATTGGGTATGTTCATGTTTTTGTCCCCATTTCCTTGTTAGAAGTAACTGGAAGCTAACTCCTAAATTTCATTATGTATGAGTAATGTATTTGTGAATATAACTTGATAATTGATTCATTAATGTAGTAAAAAAAAACATTCATTGAATGCTCAATAGGTGGCAAGCACTGTTTGAGCTATTAGAGCTACAGTGGCAAAAAGACTAACCAGTTCTTATTCTCGTGAAGAAGAAAGAGGAAAACAGGTAGAAATACAGGTACTATAGCTTCATTGAATAATGTGCCTAAGAAAGGAACAGGTATGAGTGTGCTGCAGAGTGGTGTAAGCGTGGGCATATTTGGCAGGGTTAGACCAAAGAGGAAAGAAAGAAAGGTGATGCTTGACAGCTGCTGAACAATGAGAAGGAACACATATATTTGTGTATGTGTGTTGGGGAGTGCTCCAGCCAGAAGCATAACACATGTGAAGCTACTATGCAGATACCTGCAGGTGTAATGTGCTACTCAGTTTTTGTCAACTAGGCACACCTGGAAAAAATATCCTCAGTTGAGGAATTGCCTCCATTCTATTGAGCTGGGGGTGTATCTGTGGAGGCATTTTCTTGATTGCTATTTGATGTAGGGGGGGCCAGCTA